CTTTGTGCTGGTTTCTTTCCTGTGTGCTGTCGGCTTTGTGTTCATATCTAAATACTAAGTGAAAAATGCCGCGTGTCCTCAGTAGTGTGTTTCAGATAATTTTACAGAGTAACATGAGAGTAACATGAGAGTAACATGAGAGTAACATAACGAGTAGTATAACGAATGTCTTTTTTCGTAACGTACTGCAAGAAAAGTGAAAAGTTTTAAGAAATGTATTCTTGTAATATGTGCAATTACTTTCCTGAGTAATGACCCCCACACTGAGCATAACAAAGAGGGGAAACACCTCCAACGTGCACAAACATTTGACCACACAGCATGTAATTAATTTGCATGAATGTAATGTCTTTGACATGCTGCTTAGGGATGGTGGTGAGTCTCAAAGTGGAGTCAATGAGAATCGATAAGGAATCAAATCAATAATCGATATCGATAATGGAATTGGAATTGCTAAATTCTTATCAGTTTCCATCCCTATATATTAAACCACTGGCTCAGATAATTAGGCAAGATAACAGGGATCAAAATCAATAACCAAGTACACACTATTAGTTTATTCACAGACAATATCATGATATGTTTAACAGACCCAGTTAATTCCTTTCTTAAATTAAGGCAAGCATTAAACACATTGGGAAAATCCTCAGGTTACAAGATAAATATTAAAAAGATTATTCAATTGTATCCCAGACCAAAAGCTCCAAGAATTGAAAATAAACTGGAATGCAAACAAACAATAAGTTTTTAGTTATAAACATAACTGAAAACTTAGCGTCCTTATACCAACTACGTTCCAATTGACTCAGACATACAAAAAGATCTTGATAGATGGATACATATCCTGTGAATCTAGCAGCACAATTATTATATTTATGTTTAAACCTGCCAAGCACCACAAGCACATTTTCATAGATGGGATAAATCTACTTCTAGATTTATTTGGGAAGGAAGGAAACCCAGGATTCATTACAACATTACAGCTACCTAAGACTGAAGGAGGGATGGCTCTTCCCTATTTAAAAAAACTATTTTGATGCAGCTCAGTTACACATCCTGGTATATTAATGTAATACAGAATACACCAAATATAGAGACCTCCATATTCAGTTTTCCAATCCAAAGAAGTATTGGGGAGAGTAAGATCAAAGTTTCAATAAAATAAAATTCTAATCCTATAGTCAGATTTACTCTAGAAAAATGATACACGGTAGTAAAACTTCTAAAGCTGGAAATGGATTTATTACTATTAAAATGGATATTATACGACAACACATTCATACCAGGAAAATTAGACTCCAGCGTAAATGGTTGGCACTAAAGGGGATTACAGCACAATTACTCATAAGCTTCCAATATCTCAAAGACACATTTGGCCTCATGAGCCAAGATTTCTATAGATATCTAAATATATTTATATATAGATAAGTGTGAGAGTA